CTCCCCCCCCCCCCCCCCCCCCCCCCAGCAAAATTGTTTTTCTCCATGTTTCCATTTTAATAAATTAAAACACTTTTTTTGTTATTAATTTTTACATAGTTTCACTCTTAAAATGATATTTGGACATTTATCAGATGTTTGACAAGGTGAAATACAGTCAAGCACTGCTTTGAAAGGCACATGTTCAATTTAGCTTCTGCTGAGCTCCATCACAAAAGATTTGTCTAACAGAAACAGATAGGCCTGCATGAAAAGACCAAGGACTAAGGCTCACAAGCCTGACTGACAGAAGCTAAGATGCATTCTTTTCTTTATCAACTGTCATATTTTATTCTCCATTCAGATTCTTGAAATTTAATGTTCTTGTGCCTGTTTTTCAAGCAGAGGGTTACATTATCCCAGGGTTAAACCACCTAAGGTATGGGAAGTTTCCCTGCTCAAAGTAGTTTAAGCCTGGAGTAGTGCTTCTCTCTGTTCAATGAATAGGGCCTTTGTCACATTTGAATGTCCATGAAAGTAGGCAACCTATAAGTTGTTACATTTGCTTTTCTTCTTGATGCATTTGATATTTCCTAACAGCCACTAGACAGATGACTAGACATCCTTGAGTTTCCATGTTGAATTTTACTTTCTTGTTTATATTTGCCTAGGAAAAGCTATAGTTAAAGAGCAGGTTGAAGCCTAATCTGAGTGACGAATGCTGCAAGATGCAGCTATGATGCTAGCAACCTATGAAGTGCACTGAGACATTTACATTTATCTGCAGGCCATAGAGACTCTGATAAAGATGGTTCATGCACGTGGATTCAGGTCTCCTCTACCTCATTCCGAGGTGTTGATGTTCTCTCTTTCACTTTCCATGGCATCATGGCTCTATTCTCAGCACAAACTTCATGGGATTCTTCTAATCATTATGAGGTAAGTGGCTTGACAACGTAATTTAAGCAACAATCCTTAAAAACTCGGCTATCCCCTTTCTCAAAAAACTTTTTTGCATTTATGCTTCATGCAAAATTGGTGTCACTCAGAATCCAAATGTTTCAGTGGGACTTTTCCTTAAACAGGGCATGTCAGTCATTATTCCAGCTGATTGCAGTTGAGGGTTTGAAAAGCTTTTCAGCTCAGCTGGTTGGTTAGGCCCAATGGGGAAATTAGATTGTGATGTCTTGAAAACTTACATGAAGGAATATTAATCCCTAACCAAGTATTGCATAGTTTTTTTTTGCTGCAAAACTAATAAGTATGATGAAGCAAAACTCTGCCATGCACTTGATTAACTGAAAATATTTTCCATATTGAATATATTGATGATCATGAAGTTGCACTTGTTTAACAAATATTGTTTTTTTACATGTTGAACATCAGAAATTGACTTCAGAGACATGCACATTTGAGTTTAGCCTTTCCAGAAAACAGCAACTGTGCCATCATGGATGTGCCAAGAATGTATTGTTCTCTGAGAAACTTGTAAACTTTCCTAATTGTGAAATGTAGACTTCCAAAAAATATCAAATTGTTTTTGGTAAATGATACACTGATGATATTTTCGTGTGATTATGAAAGTGATTCCTCTATGTGAGGATGGAAATTATTTGGGTAATGGGTTGCCCTGTCAAGTCTACTATTTTTTTGACAACATAGGGATGGAAGAAGCACAATATTCATGAAGTGTCAGTATTGGATGTCAAGAAGTAGAGATAGGTATTTCCACAGGAGTTCAAATATGTAATTAGGAAGAACATGGCTTCTCTATGTGTGACTTCTTCAGAAAATCTTTGTTCTGGATTCTTTTCATTCAGTGACATAGATGAAATACAGACCTATGCAAAAGGCAGCAGTCTTTCTAATCTCAACTTAATTCTTCTCACCCACCTTTGAAGTCTTTGTCTTAGTTGTTTGTGTTAGATGTGCCAATGCCTTATCCCATGTTCAGGTGCAAACTGAGTTCTGCATTAGTTTACAAGTAGACTTACTGATGCAGTCCTCTCATCTAGTCCTGCAGTTCCTTTAGTTGCACCTATATGAAGATGTTCATTTCATTTCTTGCAGATTCTTGTTTGGAGACATTCACAATGTGACGAGAACAGAGAAATCCACCAAAAATTATCACCACTATCTGAATGCCATCAAAGTATGCAGCATGTAGGCTGGCCTAAAAAAAGGCACAACTAGCTCAGAGCTGAACAGTTTTTTACTGAGCTGGAGTAGAGACATGAAATAACAATATTTTGCTTAACCCTTTCCATGGCAAATTAATATGGGGGTGGTCAGAGATGCATTGAACTCATGCCAAAACTTGCTTTTAACTTAGGCTCTTGGCTATTTCCCAGACTGGATGACACTTCATTCTTTCAATTGGACTTCTGTTTTTCCTTAAATCTTTGCTGCACATGCTGCTACAAGCTTTGAATGAATTTAAAATAGTGTCTCCAAATGGAGATGCTACCATGGAAAGGGTTAAGCCAATGTTCCTATGGTGAAGTTTGCCAGGGGATTCCAGTGTTTGATAAGAAATTTCATGTATGATCTCTTTGACCTTCTGCTTTATTCATGACAAATCCCCAGAGGAAAAAATTGCAGGGTCAGTCTGAAGAATTCATTGGCCAAATTGTTTTTTTTTTGTTGAGATGACAGGAACTGGTATCCTCTGCTGCAACCTCTGCATGCACTCATTTCCAGTGTAAGCTGTTGCACTCCCTTGCTAAAACAACACTATCCATTGTCACCCTTCTGAACCTGGGCCATACAAAGCCCTACAACATGTCCATGTACCAAGCAGGTTGTTGCTTTTTCCATCATACAGCCTAAAAAAAATTTAGTCCAATGATACCTATTTCTTCTATTCCACACTGTACAATCCCTTATGGAGGATATAAGAGTATCTCCTCATGGTCCATATGTCTTTGAGTACTCCATACTCTACGTCTTAAATTGTCAGCACACCCATAGACATAAACATGACTCCCATCTGAAAACATGTTGTCACATTAGTTTATATTCCTATTATTACACATCTCACTGATCTATTCACAAAACTCCATCCATTTTTGCTTGCCATTGCCAGACATTATATGATTTGAACTTTATATGGATATTGATCCCCACTCACACAAGTTTATATGAACCAATGTCATGTGAATTTCATGGACTCAATTATCTGGTTGCTCATGAGTTCCTTTGTCTCCATTTGCATGTTTTCTAGATTCCAACATTACCCTAAAGTTTCTACTACCAATAAACATTATTTCATGTCTCTAATGCCTACTCTTATGGACCACCCTCCATATTTCTCTTATTGCTCCTTAACCCATTGGCATTGAAATTATTATGCTGTTTGCATACTATATTTTAGCATTCATTTTGATAAATAATCATTACTCTACAAAATGCAATGTTTTAAGAACTAAGCTTGAGTACAGTGTCTTATATACATGCACACAACAGAGAATTTTAAAAATTGTAAATATAAATCCAAGACAGTCTCACAGTTCTATAGAATGGCCTGGTAGTGATACTATGAGATAGTCTTATAGATAGATGCCAATGAGTTAAAGAAGTGTCACATAAGTTGTGTTTTTTTGTTGCCTCAACTCATAGGAGGAATTCTTTTTTTCAGGGAGTGCTGAAGCCATTTGTTTTGGGTGTTGGAGTTCAAGCAATGCTTCAGCTGGTTTCATCTTGGAAGCGCATTGTGTACAAAAGAGATTTTCAAGCCTTCTTTGCCAAGAAGAACCTTCGTCTTCCTCTATTCTTACTTGCTCTCTCTTCTTCTTACCGGGTACCACTCATATTATTCTTACCATTATCTTAGAGATAGAGCATCTTCCAATCACAAATTACACTGTTTGCTGTATTATTGTAAGTACAATATGGGTCAAAAGTATTGCAACTCAAGTGGGCTAGGTTCATGGCTTGCTTTCCCTGAACTATGTTTCTCATCATGGGATCTGGGCATAGCATGGCATAGCATCAGGAGCAAGTCCAATTATCAACCAATGCAAATAATTTCCTAATTGGTTCATCTGCCTTTTAGATTTCATGCTATTACAATTGGTTTTCTTTTTATTAACCTTACATAGAACTTGATTCTGATCTCTGACTATGGGTTGCAACCAGGTGATATCGTCAGTGTTGAGACAAGGAACGAAGTGGAGTGATGGAAAAGTAGCATCTGTGACAGGGTTAGCCAGTGGAACAGCCCTCCTCATATATCCCAATATCTCACTTGTCATTTATATGACTACCAAGGTGGCTGAGGTAAGTTCTTGCTCCTTATACATATGCCCTCTAGGACAGTGGTTCTCAACCTTTTTTATATTGCAGCCAAAAGAGCTCTCTTCATATATTTATGTGACCCACAAATTTAGAAACATCCAGAAATAATGTAGACATGTGATGCAAAAAAAATAGATTGCATTATATAAGTACAGAAATGATGCTTTCAATATTTTACTCTGGGCACAGGGCTTCATTATTCCTTTCTGTTTCTTTACCTCTTTAAGCTTCCTCTGAAAGAACTCAACTGGTTTATCTTTCAATGTTGGGTAATTTTGATCTAAATGCCACTTCAATTTTGAAGGCTTCATGGAAGCATTGGCCAGCAGTTCACCACAAACTTCTGGTTTCATACTTTCTGATACTATGAAACCACAGTGAGTGTATGAATCATTATGCTTCTGGATCAGTACTAGTTTTGACTTTTTTGCTGGAGGAAAGCCAACTTCTGTATCAGTTACTGCACCAGGGGTGCTACAATTAGTACCAGCATTTGCACTTGGTTTCATCAGGATATGATCCATCTATGTTTGAATGCTAAACCTAAATAAGTAACTACGGGAAATTATGGATGGAATAAACTTTGTAAACCTCCCCTTCCTGAAAAAAGAGACAGAAATATAACAGTTCAGGTAGCAGAGAAACAAAATTGAAAAAATAAACTTTTGCTTCTGAACACAAAAAATAGCATCACCCCTACCCACAGCAGTGAGGAATAGGGTTGCTGCCCGTTCATAATTAGTATGGACAGTTCATATTTCAGATGCAATGTCCATACTGCAAACTTGTCTTAATATGGACACTACTTCATTCATACTTTAAACCTGTTAAGATTTTTTAGTTAATAAAACTTAATAGCAGTGAATACCACTGTTTTCTTGGAGCCAGAGTAGTATGCCACACTCTTATAGCATCAATTGGTACTTTGGCTAAGGGTGACTGTAGGTATTTGCAGTAGAACCACAAATGCAAGTATACTTCATATATTTGTTCATATTTCCATACGTCCACAGACCATATGTCCATATTTTGCTGATTTCAAAGGTGGCAACTGTAGTGTGGAACCAGAGAAAATGCTGGAACTAACAACTGGAGATTAAGGTTAAGAGCAAGAATATGACTGAATATGACATGAGAATGAATTAAAAGACTTTATATAGCTATTTGCCCTTTCTTGGAATTGTTTGTCAGCAGGCCTTCTCACTGTGCTGCCTTCCAATCTGGATTAGATCATTTCTGGAAAGTTTAACTCATGCAATATTGTCCTGTAGTTCAGTTTGGTGCTTATGATTGATCTCTTGTCTACTCTAACCTCACTCTAATTTTGTCAATCTTTTACTTTTAATTCATTATTCGCAATCCACCTGGAAGACCATCGTGACCCACTGGTTGAGAACCACTGCTCTTTAGTGAACACAATCTTCATCCACCTACTGCACAGCTTATATTTATAGTTGGGCTGCTCTTTAGGTTGACACCAGTGAATTTTGCTGCCCCCATCTATCATCCTGTTAATGGTGGAGAGTGAAGGGGGAGGTCATAAAGGAGTCATAAAATAGCACTCATCAAGTGAAGTGTGGTCTAATAGAGAAAAATCCATTCACTTTGGTTTTTTTCCCTGGAAACTCAAGGTTATTCATCTGTTACTATGTCTATTCACTACAATGTTGATCTTGGATCTGATGGCAGAGCCTCCATCTCATGAAAGAACAAAAGAGGCAGAGGAGTGCTAATTAGGAATTCCTGGAGGACCCTCTTTTTTTTTTTTTACTACCCCAACCTCATAAACTTAATGGCTTGCTTATAGAGCCACAAAAGAAAAAGGGTATTTGTCACCAGCTACATGACAGCATCATTTGTGTCATTGTTCCTTTGAGTATTAACCTAAAGGATGGCCCTACTATACATTCAGAGTTGCAACTTACCACAATGGGACACCCTCATGAGTGACACAAGGCTACAGTAAACTGGTCAGACCAGCACAGCACACATTCACAGTGCCACAATTCTCTTTCTCATTTCATTCTTATAGAACTGACTTGACTACAAAGCCCATGTATTTTTTCAGTACTTGAAACATTGATGAGCAGACTCTGGGATTTTTACATGTGTGTCAGTCATACCCTAATTCACATTGGATCTCCATGCACATTATTTATAACCCAATGCACTCTAACTTTCTGTGTGCATTATTCATACCTGATTGTGCTGGTTCACCAGAGTTTTAGTTGAAATTCAGTTGAAATGCTCAAAATCCTTCATATTGGTACAGGAGGTGTAAATGCATATTAATGCACAATATGCATATTGCAATTATACACCTCTTCATCATACAATACTCCAGCAAGTTTTGAGAGCAAGCTAATGCAGAAAATAACTGATTAAGTCCTTTTTTTTTCTTCAATAAAATTGCAATGCTGGGATAAGTTTCTCCATGTTCTCATTGGGCTGAACTTTTTAAAATATATTCTTTAGTAAATTTTGTATTGCCATCAAAATCTGTACTTTTTGAATGAAATATTGGTCGAAGCATACATGGAATACAATTTATTGATGCATTGAGATCAGTAATTTTCATGCGACTCCATGCTATAGTGTCAAGTGATGTGAACTTCTCATAGTGCATGTATGGGCTGGGGATGGAGAAAGGCTTTGTGAGGAGTGTGCCAGGATTCACAGTGTTTCTCTATGCCACATCAACTGCCCTACTCCTTCATGCTGCTGTTGTGGAACCCCACAACCTCAAAGACTCCTATTGGAGATTCCTCAATCGCATCACTGGTAATAGGTATGGCAGCTTTATTTCCTTTTTCATGCATGTAGTGATGTACCATAATTCAAATGAAGGGCATGATATTTCAAATTGTCTGTTTTCTTGAATCCCTGAAATGCCATGTTGAAACAGTAGTTATTTAGAATATTGTCTCCTTTGAGAGTGTTAACATAAGCCTATTCCATGTAAATACAGTGGCTTTGATCTGGCATTGTTAACCCTGTAACTACTGTTTTGAGCCTGATACAAAAACAGCCACATGTGTAGTCTGTGCCCTAAACTTCTTAAGTGCGATACCCCCATGTATTTTCATGAAGATATGTGATAGTAATTAGGGAAAGTATTTCGAAGAGATTCTTGGGGAATGAAGAGATGAAACCAAGAATTAAACATATGAGCATTTAAGTTCTGGCAGTTACAGGGTTAAACTGATGCTTTAAATTGCCAGATACTAAATTGAAAGGCAGCATATTAACAAATGCATTGCAATAAGGTCTTTCCTTCTCTATTCATATCAGAAAATATCTATGGCTTAGATTTGGTAAGGATTCCTTCTTGAAACAGTATCACATTAAGGTACAGTATTTTTTAAAGATTCATATAGGGCTTAACCTCCATTGATTCAGTGAGTGGGCTCTGGGAGAAATGGGTGGATGGAGCTGATCCCTTCGCAAATTTCCATGGAAAATGTCATGTGACATTGGTCCCATTCCAACTGGAAGTTTTCAAAATAGTTATAAAATCTCAAGTTTGTAATTGTGTCAAAATGGAAAAATTTTTCTTTCATTCCCTTGATAATCCTGAATAATGTACAGGGTGACCCATTTGAAAAATTTACCAATGAATGACCATGTACAACACAAACCATTGGACTGAAGAAGCCGAAACTTGCAATGTAAACTACTGGCAGCATGAGCATCTCAAAACCATGAGGAAAAGAGTGGCAACAAATGGTAGCATCAGCACATAATTTTCATGGCACATGGTCAGCAAAAAGTATAAAAGGTCTGTGCATTACCACAGGAAATACTTTCTGCTGCATTTAAGAATGTCCTAACCTGTCTAGAGGCTGTTGTCACTCAGCACAGATTCCACATCAAGCAGGAACTTGTCAGGTTGCTGTAGCATTTGTACCTCATTTACACTGTGTCCTTTTGTGGCAACTCTACCATATTCAAACTCTCCTCTTCCTGCCTTTAATGAGCCTACTATCATCCCACCTCCACCCCCTGCATTAAATGAACCCTACATATCCAATGCTTGTTTCTCACATTCTTAGAAGCTCATGTCAGTAGTATATGTGCCAAGTTTCAGCTTCTTCCATCTACTGGTCTGTGTTGTACATGGCCTTGTATCAGTAATCATTTGAAATGGGTCACCCTGTATGTACATTTTTAGTCCTATGACTTATAAAATGAAAAAACTGAATTCCAAGGGATATATACCTGCAAAATTCTGCCAAGTTTTAGAACAAAAAATTAGACCCCCCACCCCACCCTCCTTGAAGGCATTTGGAACTGTGTGCAAATTGGAAAGGATGATATAAATATGGAATCAAAAAGCTACTGCATTCCATGATCCCATGCAATTACTCTTTGAATCTTCTTGTTCAATTTTTAATACACAGGGATAATGGTTTGTCCTTGTGGGTTTGCTTAATATGACTCCTCGGCATGCAGGATAAGTGAGATGAATCGTCGTCTCCTGGATGAGTTTGGGTTCCGGAGTTCAACATTGCAGCCATCATTCTGGCCTCAATATGACATGACTCAAGTTTCTCCACACCTGAAGGAGTTCATGCAGAAGAATGCCATTCCATCTTGATTCTCCAATGCTGCTCCCTGTGCCTCATTTACCTTCCTGTGATACTCTCTTTCAGATTTTGTCAGTATTTTTTTCCATTGTTGCCTGGGTCCTAGATTATTTTTCCATGGGTCTCCAGATTTTATTCAGCTATATGAAAATTATGAGGGAAAGAGATCAGACTTTTCTTTCCTCTCACCTGTTTTTAGTATAAGAGGGGGAACAAACATAGGGTTGAACCTCATATCTTGCATCAGATTATATTTCTCCTCATGAGATATGATGTTCTTTGTTTTCTATACAACATGTTTCAGATAGAACTCAATGTCAGTTTTTGGCCCCTCTATATTTTTGGCATTAAGGGATCTGATACTACATGTCACTCCTTCATAGAGTGCATTCCTCATCACAAGTTCAAATGCATGGAGTCTGAGACTGGAACCATCTACCACTCAGGAAACTACTAGGAAAACATATCTGTTTTAATAGCTTGATCCATTTTCATTGCAACCATGTAATGTATGCCGACATGCTTTCTCCAGATTAGTAGATTTTCTTCCAACACATCACTTGAGTGAAAGGGTTGGTCTTCATTCATAGTGGGGGGGAGGTAGACCCACAAATATTAAAGATATTTATACTGCAGAGATGTGCTGGTAACAAAGCACTTTTGGCAGAAAGTGATCCATCACATCTCTAGTCTTCATATACTGGATGACGAATTCACAGACTCTTAACTTCAAAGGTACCTTACTGTGAGGAGGCAAATTTGTATTATTTTAGCTGAAAATGCTACTTTTTGGGGGAAAATACAGGTCTTCTCATTGCCATTTCATTTGCACCACCATCTAGAACCACAGTTTCTTTTTTAATGAAAACCCCTTATAGGTAACACTCATTCTTTGGGAACTTACAGCTAGGTACTACGTCAAACAAAACTGCTACTGCTGCTTTATGTCTTCTTCCTACAAGTGTATTTTAAAGCATTTTGGAAAAAAAATGGAGCTCCTTGAATGGCATGGTCAGCACAACTCATAAAACCTCAGAAAGCTATAGTGTTAGCAGTGGTAGGGCTATTTTTATTGAAAAATGTGTTACATTAATTAGCAATTAATTAATTTGCATATTAAAACATAAACTTTTCTCTGTGAGAACCTGAAAATGTTCAGATAAGTTCTAGTTGCAAAGTACGCATGCTAAGAAGATTACATGTGTGAATTGTTGGCACAAGTGACTCATTTCCACATCAAATAAAATGAAGATCTGAGGTTCTTCATTGATCTGTGGGCTGTGTTGTACTTTACACAGTACATGTCATCAATTCTTCAAATACACACACACATGCACATGCAAGGACCCATCAAAAAGTTCCAGGACTATACATTGTAATGCTAACTAATTCAATGAATTTAGATTTTTGTATGATCACCAACATTTGTAGAGACTTGAAGACCTCCTGGAACCCCCATTCCTTTCAACCTCCCTCAGCACTTGTGTCACAGCTACTGCATCAGTGCCCTCAAAATGGCGACCTTTAAGGAGACTCATCATCCTCAAGGACAACATGAAATCATGAGGTGCAAGGTCTGGGGAGTAGGAAGGACATGGTAGCAGTGTTATTATGTGACCAATGAGGAATTCCCAGATGAGTATTGATGTGTGACACAGCACGTTGCCATGCTGAAGGATCTATGTGCGCTGTCTGAAGAGTTCTGGACAATTGCATCTGACAGTAGTGATAAGTCGTGAGATAATGTCTCTGTAGAAGGCAGCATTGACAGTTTGTCCCTGAGGAACAAATTCATGGTGGACAATGCTCCAGGTATGGAAGGAAACAATGGGCATCAACTTCCCATGGGGGGTGTTGGTTTGGCAATTCTTTGGGCATGGTGACAAGGGTGTTTCCATGCACAACTTTGGGCCATCATCTTGGGGTCAAACAAGTACACCCACATCTCATCTGTGATGATTTGTTGCAAGAATGTTGGATCTGTATCAGCAGTTGCATTCAGGCCTCTAAAAGTGTTAAGGCGATGCTGCCTTTGATTGCTGGTCAGCGTTTTTGGAACAAACTGTGTGGCAATGCGATGCATGTTCAAAGTCTTCTGTTAGCATTGCTTGACAGGATCCAGATAAGATTCCCAGCCTTGCAGCTATGGTAATGATGGAATGACAATGGTCACTGCGGATGAGTTTGGTAAGAGCGCTGAGAGTGGCTTGATTGCAGCTTGTGGATGGCTGTTCACTCTGCTTGTCATCTTCAATTGATTCACAGCCTGTGTGAAATCATTTGTGCCATTCGCACATGAGATTTGCTCAAGGCATCTTTTCCATATGCTGCTAACAACTGCCAGGCTTCTGTGACAGATTAGCCAGCTTTGTGTAGCATTTGATAATCATACGTTGCTTGAATTGTGACATCATAACAAATGATGAGTCCAATGCAGCATATGCTTTGAAAACATCAGGGTTGCTAAGGCAATGCCATTTCTCACTGAGCTTGTGAAGCTTGCTTCCCAAGGTCATGTTCTTACTATACTAGCAGCCACGAGCCCTTTAGAATCACAAGTGTAGGTCCTGGAACTTTTTTATGGGTCCTCGTATACCAATAATGCTGTCAGCATTGAAGGTAGGTAGAATTGGCAGAAAATGGATGTGAAGACTCTCAGCACTCACATAGTATACATTGGTTTACATAAATAATTCTCAATTGAGAACTACTCACTTCTGAAACTATGAACAGAACTTATCACCCTGCAATAGTAACATCATCCATGTGCAAAAAGTGCATTGCTGTCATACTTTCTCTATTTGCATCAAGAGCTGCAACAGATTACCATTAAAATTAAGCCTAATGTGATGTTGCCCTCTTTTAGGCATCTTCCTTATGCACCACCCTGTATGCTACATTTTTTACATACTTGACCAAAACGCCTTTTCCTGTTTTATGGAAGTGATGGAAGTGGAGTGTTGACCACAAAAAAAAAAAATTTTAAAGGAGCCAAAAACTCCCCTTATGGACACATTCTTTGTCAAATCTCAAAAAAGTGATCTTTGTGTTTGCTAGACCTTCAATTCCTCCTGCAATTCAGACTTTTTCATTCACCCACCCCGCAAAACACTAAAATTCACCACAAAAGGTCAAGGTACTACTTTCCTCAGTCCTTGATGCATTGGGTAACTAAACCAAAAGTGTTTGCTTTTTCCTTTTGAAAGGGTTCCATAGGATAAGAACTTGGAAAATAAGATGTTGCATACTGTAACAACTCCATGCAGGATCACAGTTTGACTTTATTCTGTTTGTTTACATATACAGTATAATTTGATAATAATAATGAATATGTTGGGATGGGAATGAATGAAGATGATGATGAGGAGTAGAGGATAGGAAAAGTGGGGAATGATCACAGGCTTAGCTTTGCAATTCCTCCATTTCGATGTTGTTAGAAATAGGTTCTCTTTTGGATAAGACTAATGGGGAGGCACGGGGCAGGACCTTTTGACCAATTCGTAATGGAATGCCTTTCAAACCCTTAGAGGTGGCCTCCTCTTTCTCCTCCTTCTTCTCTTTATCCTTCTCCTCGACAATGGAAGCCAAGGGACCTGTGCCCACTGAGTCAGGACTCCCTGCCTGCACTGGGATGTCCTCTGCAAAACCCCAAACCACAGTTATGCAAGGGTCTCCACACAGATGATGCCTGCATATAGGAACATAAGCCTAGTAGACACACCAGGGAGCTTCTTGGTTCGGAAGGAGGCATTTGTGATGAGATTCTTGGACATAGCAGGAGCCTTCTCTCGTAAGGATGTCTGCACATGAATCCCCATTGGACCTGCTTCTCCTGTCCCAATGTGAAAATTAAAATGAATATTCTCGCTCTATTGAAGAGGATCCTTCATTACATTAGCAATTGTTATCAGGACATACTTTTAGGATATCACAAGGTGATATCCTACTTAACAATTTCATGCCAATAATTTTGTTTAGCAGTTCTACAACTCAAATCTCATTTAATGTTGCAGAATTGAAGCAAGAATTGATCCATGAGCAGCAACAAAGCCAGAGACAATAAAAATGCAATAAAAAATAATGATAAAAAGGAATCAAGAGAGACTCAAACCTGAGAAATTGTTGGTAGAATTTCGGATAGCAGATGTGACCAGGAGGACTTCAGGATACAGCTCATATCTGGCTCTCCATTCAATATCCTTTATTGTTTGGGCTGCAGCATCACTACATCCATTGTACCTGGTTTTACACAGATTGAATTGAAATTACTACATAATACCTATAGACAGGACTAGTGGAGAAAAGGATTTAGTGAAACATGAAGACCATAATTTACATTGAAACATAGGCAGCAGTGAGGAGCTCAAGGAGCAAATCAACAGACACTGGAAAGCGTTTCTCTGGACTGGAGAGCCCATCTCCCAATGATGGAAGGCTCTTGGTGCTTTCAGACTTCAAAAGCTTCCTAAACCCCATTAGGGTAATCCTGCAACATCCAAGAACAACTCCCATCTTCACGCATTTATGATATTAATGCCATTGACTCTTTTCATCATAACTCATCCAACTTATTTCTTAACACTTCTTCAATGAAAGGATGCTCACAACTAGGCAGGGTTATTAAATATAAACTATAGCTTTAGCAGTTTTTCATCATAAATGAACAATAAAATGTGAATAAAATCAATTTCTACTGGGTATTACCCTTACTGGTATTCCTTCATCTTGTGCACACTGTCAATTCCTGTGAACACTGCATATGAATCTCAACTTCATTATGTGAACATTAATTTCCAATGAGAACTGAACCTCCACTCTCACATTCAATGCAAAACGCACTGCCTGACATAAGGGTGAGAAGGGTTAACATCCAGCAGACCTTCTCGCCCATGCATATAAGAGCCTATGATTGCCTTTTTCCTTCCTAACATGCATCGGTATACCTCAGGCATCTGCAAACTTCACCAACTTCGGTACACCCAAACTTCTATTCCTTTGTCAGGATACACATTTCATTTGTCACTGGCAATCCCCACTCACAAGAGACCTAACTTTGTTGCCCATTGTTGAACTCTTGCAACTGTAACTAAGGAAAATCTGTCACTGGCCCAGGATGGAACCGGTCCCCAAACCAAGAGTTTACAGGTTTTTGTACAGATGTGACTCCAAGGAAAGAGGCAATCGTGGGCTCATCTACAGGTGACTAGGTCTGCTGGATGTTCATTCCATTTGTCATTATGTTGGGCAGTGTGTTCTGCATTGAGCACGGGAGTCCTGCTGCCACTCACAATGACTCCTCCCATCTGGAAGAACACCACTCACTTCTAAGGAATACCCTCTTACTTTCATAGATATAAAGTTAAGGTTAACTGGTGGAGCTTAGATAAGTTGGATTATTGGGACATCTGTCTTGAGACAGAAGATGCCAGGATTATATCAGAAGGCAGTGGATCATCTTCATTCAACTGCCACTCTCAGACAGGGGATGTGGGGTTACTCACCGAGATGCAGCAGTGCAAAGAGCAGTGAGAAACAAGGCCTTGAGTACAGGAGTATAGCGATTGTAAACATGAAGAAGAGTGGCCAAGACAGGGAGTCGGGAATAAGCTGTCATGGCATCCACTACTGGGATAGGTCTCCACTGCACCGAATGACCTTCTTCCAAACGACGCAGGGCTGCCTCTGTCAAAACGTTGTTCTGCAACAAGGCTGGCTACAAACACAAAGAAAATCGTCATCAATCAACATCTCAGTCAGTACCAAATAAATCTGCTTTGGGATGGTGATGAGATACATTATGCTTCCATGAGAAATACCAGTCACAAGAGGATTCTGTCAGGATTTTATGTCTCAGACAAACAGGCATGATTTCCTTTCCTTAATTGGACAGAATATTGACTCAGGGATGTAATGACATTTATTAGATAATTGTCATCAGCTGAATCAGACACATTCAATATATTAGGTTCATATTAGCAAACAAATATTAATAGAACAAAATGTAGATATGTTATCATATATATAAATATAATTGGATGAGGTTATAGTTACCTTTCTGCATAATCTCTCATGACTGTTATGCACCTGCTCCAGTGATAAACCAGTTTCCATCTGAACAAAACTTTTTGGAGCATAGCACAGCAAGCAGCATGCACTACTTGTAGCACCTCCTTGTTACTTCTGAAGTGCCACATTCAAAGGCTTTTTTTTAATCATCAGTTTGTGATACTACAGCTCTATATGGATGACGTTTTTCCATTCAAACTGGGTACATTATTTTTCCCACCTTGTATATAACCTGCATCTGAATACTTGTCAAATGTACACTCACAGAATCATGAAATAGTTGATGAACATGTCCTTGAGCACAATTTTATGCAGTCAGTGTAGTCATGGATATCTGGAGAGCATGTAGACTGAATCTGTCCATGTTCAAACTTGCATTGAAGCTACCTATTAACACTTCAAGCACTGAGTTTTGACTCAACCTCCTAAGTGATGCAAGTACGGCGTATATGAAAATGGCTTGAAGGGTTAAGATGTGACTATTGTTGTACCCTAATGGTCATATTCCACTGCAGCTTATTTCATTTCTTGGCAAAAGGGATATACAGGGTGTCCCAAAAGGTATGGAAACACTTCAAAAATTAATATCTCTCTAAATCAGTGGTGCACAACCTTTTCCCCCTAGAGGGCCAAATTGAGATTTCTGAGCTGAAATAGGCCGCATATAAAAATGGACCTTTAGAGACTGGAGGCATCCAAGGGGCCGCAAAAAGGTATCCGCTGACTGCATGCGGCCCGCGGCCCACAGGTTGTGCATCACTGCTCTAAATTATGCCTCAAATAAAATATGATTAAAACAGTAAAATGAAGTGCAACTCAAACATTTTTCAACCTGCTATTGCAATTCCACATGGGCACCATTTGTGATTCTGTAGATGTCTAAGCGATGTTCGAGCTCTTACCACACCTTTTGCAGAGTGTTAGGCATAACTATCAGGACAGCTTGGATGATTCTGTTCTTTGGATCCTAATCGATTGTCTACTTTCCTCCAGTAAGTGATGTCCTTGACATAGCCCACAAGAAAAAGTCCTCTAGGGTTAGTTCAGGTGATCTTGGTGGCCATGGAATGAACCTGTTTTGTCCAATCCACAGATCTGTTTTCTTTTCCATACCTTAGCTTGCTAAAATGTGGAGTTGCAACATCTTAGAAAATTAGACTTTTATTGTGCCTGAACCCATCCCTCTTGGATTTTTTACTATTATGGGGATATGTCAAGGACATTGTCAACTTTTTTTGAGTAAGCAATCTTCAACCTGATCTGAAGAATAGAATTGATGCAGCTATCCAGACAGTTATACATGACACTCTGCGTAAGTTGTGGTAAGAGCTTGAACATTGTTTGGACGTCTACAGAGCCAATTAATTTTTTTAATGTTTCCATACCTTTTGGGACACCCTGTATATACCCCATAATTCTTCAGATGACCATAAAAAGCAGTAGTTTATATGTAAATTTTGATTTGGGTATACTGCACAATCCTCAGAAGGATCTGCAGGACAGTCATTAGAGTGGTTATTAGAAAGTGTCATTACCCTGCAGAGAACAAAATATCTTCAGAATATTAACATGTATTATTTCCTTTTTTCAGGCATTGTGAAGTGATGTGATGGCTTGTCCATCGCATGGTCATCTCCTTAAGGTATTAGCATTCACTTCTTTGTTGAATCCTAATACTTTATACTGACTGAACTTTATTTTTCAATATGGGTAAATTTCTCTGAACCTCATGCTTATATTCCTAGGTATACTCAGTCTATTCCATTAGCAGACTTAGGTAAATGTAAGGGATAAACATTTTCTTTATTTTAGTCCAGGGGTGTCAAACTCAAGTCGGCCAGCGGGCTGCATTCCTTACCCTGCAGATGCTTGTGGGCCACACCCTTAATTTTTCACCTATATTTGTGCTGACAGTCAATCCAAACAGAAATTTAAAGAACAGACAGCGGGCTGGATCTGGCCATATGTTTGACACCCCTGTTTCAATTTGAAGATTTTGTGAGAATGTTGAGTTAACCAACTGTACTCACATTGTGATAAAGTGATCCCAAAGCCAAGGTGGGGATACGGAATCCTTCCTTCACAGGAATGTGGTCCACAGTATTGTAGGATTCTTGGTTATGGATAAACAAGAGTAGGACCTCCAGGCTCTGGCTATTCTATTACCCAATAGAAATGCCAAAAAAAGCAATCAAAATCTTTCCATTTTCTTGCACTAACCCAGGGATAGTTCTGCTAGAAATAAATTAAGACAATCCATGATTAGAGATACTGGTAATCCTCTGCTTAATATACATACTGAAATAAAGTTTCCTCCTATAGATTCCTACAGTGCAGTACTTCTCCAAGCAGCTGAAGGTAAAAGCAAGCTACACAATAAACTTCACCATGCTGGATGGTCACAATGTAAGACATGCTCCAAAGGACAATCAGGACAAGATGAAAAATACACCAACTGAAAATAAAGGAACCATTTAATTTTACTGAAGAGATGAAGTACCAATTGGTATACTAGCCAGTAACATAGCACCTTCAAGCCCAGATATGATTTGGTAGGCAGGGCCAGGGATATTGCCATCTTCATGTGCAAGATCTGAATCTCTTTGAGTTCTGTTAAGTTCATACATAGCTTAACAGAATTAATCTCAGTATACACAGAACTACATGACTAATTTCTCCCAGATATAGTATGGTGCATCTAAATTTATACAACTTTAAGGGGGCATATGAACTATGATAGTGGATTCATGGAGCAAGCAGAGAACTTGCATCATCTCCACATAAGTTGACCCAGAAATACAGCTTCATAGGCTTATTAAGCCAACATCACTGACAAAGTTACTACTATGAAACTGCCAGGATTTCCCAGACCCACATAATAAGAATGTTTGAGAAATTTGAAAACCTTTTGCATGGAGTGTAGAAAGGAGTGGAGATACGCCCAAACAAGGGTAGGTAGAAATGCCACCACGGCCTTCGTGTATTGAGGATCATTCAGTGAATAAATGTGATGAAGGATGTCACATAATTCTTTCAGCAATACCTGTAAAAAAAAACATAGTTAATTCACTATGGGGAAAAATAAGTTAGCTATCTGTCAATGGGTGATCCGTTCCATGATTAATCAGCAGTTGAAGAGGAAAGTGAGCAGGCAATTATCATGTCTTCACCTGTCTTGATGAGTGACAGGTCAGGGATGTCAAATGGGGATTTTCTCACTGTCATCTCTCTTTACACTCTACTTTGACCTATATTGCAAAAGAGAAAGGAGTGACCTCTTCTGCAGAAGAGAGGAGCTATCAGGCTACAGATGAAAATATTGATTTAAAAAATTGATCCCATCATCTAACACATGAATGGTGAAGACCCAAGCGATTTAACGACTACCGAGTATTTAACAAGTAACAACTTCAATATCATGGATAATGTGAACTCTATGTATGTTGAAAGTCAATAAAACACTAGGATCCATCTTTCTTTCCTTTTTTTGTGCACTTTCATATTTTCCTTAACATGCTGTCAAATTCAAGAAGATATGTCTAACATGTTGTGAATATGCCTGCATAGAACACTCTCCTTCATTTCTAACAATTTCTTCTTCTTCATTTGCTTATTCCTAGGGTTGTGACATGGGTCCTCTATCAATGATTTATGACCCTCATTTCAGCAAGAAAAGAAAAGCTATCAGAAATTATCCCCATTAGTTAATGGATTATGAAGCCTGTGGAATTGTAGCTGTCAAACTATTTTGCCACCTTGTTCTTCTCAGAGTGAATAGACCATAACAGTATCAATGAGCTGCACTAATTCCAGCAGTGAGACCAAGAAACATGTTGTCCAACATATACATAGTAAAACATTAGAATGAAGAGATAGTGACCTGCTAAAGTACTTCATTATAAAGAGAGTTTATTATAAGATTGTAAGGGGAAATATTAAACATTATGGACATTCAATTGAGGATAAAAATTGCTTTGCTTCAAGAATACCACTGGGTCTCATATTACAAGGTTTTACAGTAGTTCATCCAAAAACTTAATAGAGAGATGGTACTAATAAATTTCCTACTGAGGGCATGGTGCTATTGTATTTACACTAGCAAAATCTTCCTTATAAAACTGAAGTAACATTATGAAACTTTTTTTTGGTCTGCTGTTGCAAATGAAAACTATGAACAATAACTTGGTCTGTATCAATGCAGTGGCATTAACCAGAATTATAAGCTGATATTATAGCACCATCCACACCATCAGCCTTTGACAGGTTTTCATACTGCTGATATTGATGCTGGGAGACTGAGTACTAATACAATCATGTTGCAGTATAACTTATTAGAAGCATGATCTATGGTATAAATTATGGCTATAAGTAGAGCATGTAAGCTTTCTAGAAAATATTCAGCATGAATGAATGAAAAGGGGCACATATTTTGTGACTACATATAAAAAAATAATTATTGAAATCAAGACTTGCTTCATTGACAGCTAACATCCAACAAAAACTGGATTTGGTCATTTTCATCACCTCTTGAAAAAATATTTTTAAAAAAGTGTTATGCCACTCCCTCAGCTTAAAAAAATTTGATTGCAGTCTTCATTTTCCCTCCAGACAGGTTCAATTCACTTCTCTTTTTCCATCTCAATACATGCCCAATTTTTCTTTCACTCTCTTTCTCATTCTCTAGCACAGATGAGCATACTTAGCAAGGAAACTAAACAGAAGATAAATTCTTACGATAGTCAAGAGATTTTACCATTACGTATTACATTACTACGTATGAGATTTCTTAGGTCTTAAGTAGGGCTGTCATGATAGCAGTTTTCAAAGCATGCATCAACCTGAACTATCGATAGTGTATCGATGCATCGGGGAGGGGGAGGGGGGGGGGGGTGCGCTGGAGGATTCAAGCTTTTCTTGCGGTGATCGGGCGGAAGTTTGTCTTCCATCATTTCTTGCCTCGATTGGAGCGCGGACCTCTATCCGTCTTCCATAATCTCACGCTTGTGATCGTGGGTGCAGAGGGAATGTGACCTTCGCAAGGAGTAATGAAACCTACCATGCCTCCAACTATCGAAGATGATTTCCATTCATCAAGACAGTCCTAATTTTTTTATCGTCGTTGAGAATCAGCTGCCAAGCCCGTTCGCGTAATTTTTTTTTCTCTTTTCTTCGTTCTACACGGTCTCTGGACATCGGCACCGGCAGAAAGGAAACCTGCCGACGGTGCCATTACTGATATTTCTGCAACCGGCGGTTGCAGAAATATCAGTACAGCCCTAGAATAAGCAACGTCCATGTAAAAATTCACTTTGAGTTCACCTTAAAATATATATAAAATGCCACTGGGCAAGTTAAAAACTAAGAAAGTTAAGCCTGTATACCAGGCTAGGAAAACCCTTGCGAACCTGCGAACGAGGTTCGCGGGAAAGGAGACGCGCGGGCGGGCGGCTCACTAAGTCGGCTTGCATACCCTTCCCGGGAAATTCCAATTTGTCACCTCAGGTTCGCGGGAAAAAATATAATTTTCCTACATTGCTGCATACTAAAGAGAAAGACAGGAATATAGAAAGGGGATTAACCAATGTACGTTTCGACATCAAGAGAGTATAAGAACAGTCCACTTTTGCTGCATGCACCTGATGAGATCGAGCTGAAGACTGAAACAGAAGAGAAAAATATATGCTCGATCTTCCCTCCTTTCCTACTTCCTCTCCGATCCGACTTTTTTTCCCCTTCCTGTCTTTCATATAGTCAGTCCCAGCATTTTCAGAATATGATTGTGATACGAAATTGCAAGCCCATGCGGGTCACGCCGCTTCTTCCTTTCCCCGCCCAGACGGACTGTATTGTACTGTACTTGCCTCGATCCAATGGGACATTTCCCCTTTAAAATCTTTTGCCAATACATCGCAATGGTAGAAAAAACTATCGATACTTCCAACCATCGATAGTGGTATCAATGCATCGATCTATCGTGACAGTTCTAGTCTTAAGCAAAGGATAACTGACAATGAAAAAGTAGTTGGTACATTCTTTGTCTCACCTCAATTCCTGAGTGGTTCAGTTCATCCTCAAGGAACTGAAAGATGGCATTGATGAGGTCCTCATTTTCCAGAAGCTCAATGTATGCTCCTTCATCCTCTCCACAAGATGCAACCCAATCTTTCACAAATTCCATATCTCTTTATCAATCTCCAGAGGTTTCATGAGTGTCATCCACAGGCCTAACATCATGGCTGGGCCACAAAACAGCTAGACCAAAACCTATAGATCTTCATCCCATATTGCTAACAGTCCTGCAAGCAAGGGATAGACCTTCAAAATCAATTGCCAGTCAGAATTTGAACCCTTTAGGCCTAATGAATAAAATTTCAAGGCCACTTAAAAAAAAAAACCAAACAAATCACAGGCATTGAAGATAACATATATACTCTATAAATTGAGGAATGAGGAGAAATTGGTAGGCCAATATGGCAAAGAGCAAATGCAGCCCTGTGTGTAGTAACCATGTGATGCTATGTTAAAAATGTTCTCTTTTAGCTTAGGCTCATAGATCATTAAGATCTGATGATGGCACAAGTATACAAGTTTAAAAAAGAAAACACCCTCAGTGTCAACAGTGATGGACACCATCCATACCTAAATACCCAATGCTAGTTTGTTACCCCCATCCAATACAAAGGAACTTTTAAAAACAGGGTAAATGATGGAATAGCTTCTTGATAATGTGTCATGGATTCACCAGGACAGGAGGCCAAAATAAAATCCCACCATAGTTATGGATGCCAAGGTGCTCTCCCAGAAATGCTGGGCCCATTGTATCCATATCCATGGGTTAGAGAGGATGAAATTCCTAAAGTGTCAAGTGAGGTACATGTTGAATGGCATGGGAAGAAACCTGGGAGTATGAGACACCTCCCTCAAAATCAACCTACATCACTTCTTAATAACTATACCTCTTGCCCCTGATACTTAATTTTACTCAGTCTAATCCATGTCCTTTCTTGTAGAATCCTAAAAGAGAAATGCTAAGATTTACCCAAGAACTTCAAAAGTTTCTTGAGCTACCAATTTGCCTGTCTAGGGTTCTGATTCCCCTACTTACTCAGTAACAGACATGAAGCTGAGTACCAAAACCAATTTCCAATCTTATCTTCTGACCAGCACCATATATACTTTATGCATTATCATATGCTTTCCCTGAATCAAGGAAAAGAACATGGAACTCTCAGTTCACTAACCTTACTGGACAGTGTACTATAAAATCATTATTCTCAAATTTTTTGCATAAATTTGTACCACTCTTACCCAGAACATATTCATGAGCATCAGCAGATACAACTCAATGCACCAACATCGACCTATCTAAATCCTTTTGCTCCTACTGATCCCAGTTGAACCTACTTCACTAATCAATTATATATGGAGTTTCAAAAGGAACTGCAGTAGAGACTGGTCATACCAGTCTTGTGCAGAAAGATGACATTCAGAAAACATATTTATAGTTAGTGATAACCTATAACAAAAACACCATAAAACACACGAGGGGTAACAGAAGACTTCATTTTGAACTGAAATCATGAACAGTTCAGCAGCAAATTCATAGCAATTTCTGAAAATGTAAATGGCCATTTTGTTTCAATGCACAGCTACTTTTAAAACACCCAGTATAAAATTTCCCAGATGACATAATCAATTAGTAGTGTGCATGGTCACATCAAGTATACCAAGTATACCAACTTAAATGCTAACATGGTGGGAGAGGCCTTGAAAGCAAATTACTTCCATCCAAGTTCTTGTTATAACATGGCCACAGCTTGAGAAGCAAAGCATGTTAGGTTAGCAATAAAGACCTAAAGTTACTGAATGTAACTTTCTTTTTCCATGATGATAGCTAATATTATCAATTTAGGAGTTGGATGGTATTGTGTATAGCACTTCTTGACATTTCAAACTTTTTTGGCAAGAGTAGAATAGCAACTTAACATGTACTACCTATTGTGTAGTTTTGAGACAGTCAATCCTATAAACCCTCTCAGACCTGAATTTTAGCCATGATTGGAAATAAATATTTGTGAGTAAGAGAGAATAATTCAATTGACATCCAGAGGGCTTCTTACAGAGTTCAGCCTTGTAGAATAAGGTCCACTGTAATGGACTATGGTTAGGGACAGGGTAGTCAATTGACTGTTATTGACTGCAATTCAATGAATTAAGTTTTTATAGAGCTCATAATTGTGATCATTTATCCTCCAGCACTAAAACCAAAGATCCAGTTCAATTTTAAAGTTATATTCATGCAGCCCACCAAACATCTGGACTGTGGCACCCATTGGGTATGAAAATATAGCAAATGCTCAAACTTCCATGACCTCTCACCAGCATGGTGTAGAGTGTGTGTACAGGCATAGCCTACTGTTTAAGGTCTTACAGTCTTAATGACATTGAAAGTTAAAGTTCAAGATCCAAGTTACAGCTTTAGGACTTTAGCTAAATGCAAGGTCTAACATGGTCTTGGCCAATAGTCTGCATTGGAGCATCAAGTTATTCTCAAAATCTGTGATCAAGGGACAAGTAAACTTACTTGGATTATGCCTTGGTCTGAGCCTAAAAAAAATAATCTAGCTATGAAGCAAGGCAGAGGTTTTTTTTCTGACAGCAACAGGAATAAATACTTACACCAGAAACCAAGAAACTCCAGTTCTGGACACTATGTTGCATTCCTCATTTTTCAGAGTTCTTATAGAACTAACCAGTCACAGAATTTATCCCTGAAACACGACTTATCATATAGTCATAAGGCCTAACCTCTTGTTGGGCTCGTTGACCTTTATTGTCCTTAAATGGTCTTAAATGACCATGTTGACTTGTCAGCTTTCCATGCCTAGTCTATCACTTGTGAGTCATGACATACAAATGGAGCACAAATTACACAGGGAAAAAACAAAATAAATTTTGGCCTTATTGACCATAATTGGCCATAGTTGACAATATTGACCAGTCAATAACCTATCCCAAACTATGGGTCACATCTAGAGAATCACAAGAATGTATGAGAGAAACATACAATTTTATGTCCATTTGAGCAGGTGCAGGGCCTGAAGGGGTTACACAAAATGCACATACATTTTTAACAAGTTGTCACCATGCTGTCAATAATACAATAAATTGTTGCATTTATACACAATTTTGCATCGTTTTTTTTATTCGAATCAGACAAGCATTGCATGTACATCTGAGTAAATTGAGAAACATCTTAATATGACTCCAGCTAAGTTCCCATAGGATGTATAAATAGGACGGTTAGCTAGGTAGGCCCTAGGGAACATACAATGGCATTATTCAGAGAATTTATGGCTTTACTTAAGAGAAAGTCAATCACATACCTTGTAAGTTGGTTCATTAATAATAATAAATTAAAAAAACTAAAGGAAAAACACAGGTTCTTCCCAAGTGGAATTCAGCGATTGGAAAACACCCTTCACGTCGGACAAAATACGCCAACTTCCAATACTTACAAGATCGTGAGTGATTGAAAGTGAAAAATCTGCCCAGAGGGTATTTGTAGTTCTCACCTCATGGCCTCTAGAAATGCCGCATTACTTTATGCATTGTCCTGCATAATATTGTCTCCACAATAGAAATACAATAAAAATGGAAAAACGGAGCCCCAGGAGCCTTAGTCTGTAGCCATTTTGATTTAGGATTTCCGGTGCGGTTGAGATTCAATACTACAACATCAACTAAAAACACATAAAACAGCTCTCTTTATCCATATTAATTGCATTACGACGTATACATTCGTGATTTGCATGCTCAAAAACTGAATTATGCTGATAATTCTTGTTTCTCAACATTTTACTGCAATATCTTTATATTCTATCTTGCACATTGGGACATATGCTTCGTTTTCGACAACACTGCTAGTCACACTCTTTCCTCCGCAGCGAAGATGGTGAGTCTGTCTCGTGTTCCTCTTTTCTCCTCAAATTCATTTCCTCTTAATGCCTGAAAATAGGCTCGGGGATTGTTTAGGCCTACTCTTATGTCACAGAAATATTTCCAGGCCGCATAAAGAAGCTAGAAGGAACTTGTGCCATCTCGTCAAATGGAAGACCAAGTGCATGTGGAATTTCCAACTGCTGTCCTAACCTCACCGCATTTTTTTAAGTATATATTTTGGGTACATGTTTATACCATGAGATAAAGTAGGCCCTAGCCTTTTGCTCAGTTATCACTGCGCAGGACAGTATTAGTGCAATGTGGTCAGTCCTTATCCACTGAAAGTCGCCGCCTTTTCGGAACCGGCGGCCGAGTGTGACGTTCGAATTAGCAGGACTGCTTTGAATTTCAGCTATTTTCTAGGTATCTGCTCTCGGTTGTCACCCAGACCCAGGGAGGCTATCAGGGTTGTTGGTAGCAGTAACGACGTAGCAATGGGGGAATGTAACTTCCTACTTTTTCTATCCACACAATTCTCAAATCAGTGACAGGCTCCGTTTTGTAAGAAATTGTTTTTGCATAAACCAAGAGGAAGAAGGCCATAGAGTTGACAATTTAACCTCTGTTCATCTGCCCTCCCGCCAAAACTTAGCCTGCTGTAGTTTTGTACCCTGATGACCTCTTGTGCTCCATGAATCTGTCAAGTGTGTTATTTCTGATTTAGGTTAACACAATGTGTCAGTAATATTGAACAATATCCATAGTTGCAGAACCATAGTGTTAAGTATTTTTAAAATGGAACTTACCTTTATTTTGTCTTATGTAAATACATGGTGTAGAACATGATACATTGCAATTTGTAAAACAGACATATCAGGAGCATTGGCCGTGACTGACATATCTATAATTTCTGGTAATGTTTTGTGATTCAGCTTCAGCAGTTTTCAATAGTGGTGTATTAAGCTAATACTGATGTTCAGGGAAATTAAGATAACAAGTCTCATTGAAAAATGAAGAAAAACCTGAAATAATTTATTCCAATCCCACCCTTTTGTTTTCATAAACTGCTCATGAATGAGTAGATGCCTGTGAGCATTTTTGTTGCGGATCATGCAGAATGTAACTGCATTCCATTTGGTTGCATTATGAAAGTTAAATGTGTCAGTTAACATCCATGCCTTGGCTGGATCTAGTGTACTTTGTAGGTGAGCTAGAAAGTAAACTGCCCTTAAGGCTTCTTAGCTGAAGGGGCTACTTCTCTTTCTTCAATGTTGGTTATCTCACACAGGCTCAGATAAAGAGGTGTCTGAAAAAGTTGAGAATCTCAGTAGCATCAGAAGTGGCTTCAAGTGTCAGTATGATGAGCAAAAGCAAAATTAAAAGTCATCTAGAAAACATGAGACCTGATGAAATGGTTGAGGCCTAACTCTTTCATGGTGGTGGTTAGTGACAAATAATATACACTGCTGGGAAAAGAAATAGGAACACCTAGAATGAACAAGGCTTTAGCCAAAAAAATTTGGGCATTCTTTTGGATACATCATAGGGTGCAAATGATCAATCATTCCCATATCTGATGTCCTGGTGATGTTATACAGTACAATCATGTGACTGCACCACAGTTAACCCCTCAACAGCATCAACTGCATATAAGCCCCGTAAGCATAAAGAGTAGAAAGTTAATATACAGTAAATGGTTAATGGTCTGATACAAACTGCCAAATGATGCTCCAAGCAGCCTAGTACCCTTCTATACCATGTGACCTTCTCATGATTGTATTGTGCCACTGGGATGTCAGATATCAGATTGATTGATCATGTGCATATCTCAATGTAACTCATAAAAACCCAGTTAGGTGGCTGTAGCATTGTTTGTTCTTGGTGGTCCTATTTCTTTTTCCAGCAGTATATTTATTTATTCTGATTTGAAGCATGATGGTAATCTGTTATGACCACCTATCTGCATACTATTGTAGTACCTGAATCACAATCAGTGGCATGTTAATGCCATTTCACATATTTTTTTGTAAAATATCATTCTGTAGCTTCACCAATTGCAGCTGCTGGACTTTGTAGCAAGTTTTGAATAATAAAAAAGCAATTTACAATAGAGGTTAGTGTAACATTGTTCTGGTACTCATGGATACAAAAATATACTAAGTGGGAGAAAAATATTTTTTGACTGAAAAATGAAATTAACCACTGCTGTGGTTTGAAATATTGAGGTTAGGTTTTTCATATGCTAGGCACAAGCAGTCAAGTTTTACAATGGAAACGCTACTTATGAACATGTTAGTACTAATATGTTATTACTTTGTGAACATGAAAAAAAGTCACATTCAAGGTATTTTTTAAAATCAGAAATGTCAAATGAACAGTTTTTTTTATATTGGATGAGTTTATGTACCCAGGTACATGGGTTTAAATCCTATAAGCCTAGACAGGAAATGTTGAACATACAATAATTTACTTAACTTTTCACCTCTTAGCTTGATTAAATAATTGTTTGGTCTATCATAGCCATGGTGGACAGGTAATATTTATGAAAGTGAACTCAAATTGAAAATTATGTGCTAGAGCCTGAATTATGACATCTTAGGGTAATGAAGCTGGGCATATTGATAACCTGTGTTTTCAAGTGAGCTAAATTTATTTTCACAAAATGCTTTTCATATGTACTATATTTCAGAACCGGGATAGAGGGCTTGTTGTAACTTGTATGTTGCTAGGGCAACATGAGTTTTCTTTAGGCAGGGGGCCAAGGTTCAAAATCAATCAAGCTATTATTTCATGCAAGCCTCATATTTAGAAACTGAGACCCATGAGCACTGGGCATTCCAATCACTAAATTTGAGGTTTGAATAAACCCCAATAGTGAAAGTTGAACCTGGGTAACATCCTCACATTAACACCACTTAGCTCAAATAGTCTCCAAATGTTTGAAATTGCTGACTTCCTTGGTCTGGTGGACATCAGTTGCTGCCATAGTCAGTGACCAAGAATGTATTTTTCTGCTCTCATTCCACCTACAGCCCTTTATATGGACTATGTCAAACCTCTGCGACAAGTGTTACACCTATTGTAAACATGCTCCCATGGGCATAAATCTATTAAGAGGTCATTTGTTCTCATCCAGATGATAAATGATACCCCAATTTGCAGTTAGACCACTTCACACTGCCTTATCTTATGAAGAATGTAATCTGATCTTGCTTTCTTGTGGTCTGCCCCATCCATACTCTTCATTTTTGTGCATTGCACCTCAGGATCTGATAAGTAACCCAAAATATACTGTGTAGGATCTCGGAAAATGCGCAAGAGGTGACATGAACAAAATACATGCCTACAGTAGTTGCTGCAAAACTCAAAATATTGTTAATCCATGCTGCATCTCACTTAATTTCACATCTGGGAAGTAAATTTAGGGGAAATTCCAAGGTGTCCATGTTCGTAAATGCTGCTAGTCTGAGTCTGCTCATTGTTCATTTAATCAATCTGGTGCAAAGCAGGTGTCCACCAGACTGATACCTGAGACCTGAAATAGCTTGGATATTTGATTCAGTAGTTAGGTGATACAGTTTTGATGTGGTAGGTTTAGCTATGATTATAGAGCAAAGGTGCATTCATTGGTTTTCAACCTCATGTGTCTGGTAGCCATTGTATCAGTACCATCTCATTGATTTCTTAGTGACTTCACATTGCTAGCCACTTGACAATTCGATGTTGAGTGAATGTTGTGTGCTCCTTGGGCTCTTGGTTCCTTCTTTTTCTTCGAGTTCCTATTTGACTTTGAATTTCTCAGTATTTGACTTCTTTGAATTTCCTGTGTGTACCAATTTTCACTTAGTATATATTGATATAAACTCTACTTATAAATCTGGCAACATGGATTCAATACTTCCCTTTCTATTTGAACATGCCTTTTAGTTTTATTTGTTGGGGTTACCTCACTGGTTGGTTGATTTGGAAGTTTAACAGTATGTCTTTTAGAGGTTATGGGATTATAATAGAAAATAAACTTGAGATTACATAACAATTTGCATAGGACAGATTAAAATAGCATTTAAGCCAATCTGTTTTGCCAGGTGTAAAATGCATTCTGTACTTTAGTTAGTAAATAGTCCTTCCCCCTGGTAGTCTTTCAATATGTATGACTTTGGTTCTCTTCTCTACTTAGGCTCGAGGACCAAAAAAGCATTTGAAGCGACTGACAGCTCCAAAGTCATGGATGCTGGACAAGCTGGGAGGAGTGTTTGCTCCTCGACCCAGCACTGGCCCTCACAAACTAAGAGAGTCACTTCCATTGGTCATCTTCCTTCGGAATCGTCTCAAGTACGCCTTGACTGGAGATGAAGTCAAGAAGATTGTTATGCAGCGTCTCATCAAAGTTGATGGGAAAGTCAGAACAGACACAAATTTTCCAGCTGGATTCATGGGTAGAGTTCTGTTTCATTTTTTTAAATGATATTACTATTGCACAGTTCAATATAGTGCTTCAGTTTTTGTCCTGAATAAGCAACTCATTTCACATTTGAGGCCATTCATCCAACAAGATTATCAGTATATGTGATATCCTTATTAGCATTTTCATGAATAAATGAAGAATGCAATTCCCCCTTCAATGCACTTGTATTTGAGTTACTTTTAACTTCTAGGTAAGACATTCCAAGGATGTACTTTTCTCCTCTTCATTGGTGGGCTGCGTGAACTTGGATATAAAATGATGAAATGACTCTTAGTGAATGATTAGCTTGGAATCCTATGCCAGAAGCACCTTTACTTGTTTCTTTTTAAATCCATGTGCCTCACTTGGTTAATTGATGTCATTTCAGATGTGATCATAATTGAGAAGACTGGAGAGTACTTTAGACTCCTGTATGATGTGAAGGGTCGATTCATCACCCATCGTATCACCCCTGAAGAAGCCAAAGTGAGATCTTGCATGTTCAAATCCCACCTCGATTAATTGAAAACCTTTTAGATAAAAAACTGGTAGCCTATCATAAAAATTTTTCCACTGAGAAGCCAGCTTATTTTGGTAAGTGAAAGGATGGAGCAGGACAATGCCTTGTATTTTATTTTATGCCTAATATAATACTGGGCCTACCACAAGGCTCTATGCTCTCCCCACCACTCTTCAACTTCTTTACCAATGACCTACCCATTATGAAATTATGCAAGTTCACTGATGATTTTTGTCTTGGAAAACCCAAGCACTCAACTTCTCCAACCTAGAAGTCTCACTGAACACAGATCTGCTGTCTGTTGTCAGTGTCTGGGTAGAGGGTGTTTATAGGGTGTACAATGCTCCAAGAATGTAGATAACTTGCCATTGAGGTTGTGGCTAGGGAGTTTTTAGGTGCACAACTATCCCATCTGAAAGAATATTCAAATAATTCTGGTTCAAGGTGAAAATGCCAAAAAGTTGCTCATTATCTAGTAACTTAACTGTAATGCATTATTAGCTGCTGATTATCAAGTCAAAACAATTTTGCTTACTTCACATCTAATGCAGAAATATTGATATTAGATTTATATGTAGAATCTAATATTGGTCTTTATGAATGTTACCATGAAAAGAAATTCATCTGGAATTCATGCACAGTGGAATTTTCAATGGAATGTTGCTGTTCAAAAACAAAGGGAGTCATTGCAGCCATGATTTATGAACATCCCTAAATGTTATAGAAGGAAGCATTTAAGATTACCTGAAAATTATCACTTCGTGTAGTAGGGGTTACTCAGGAAAGCTCCTAGTACAAGGGGACTTAGCAGCTTTCAGCAGTGTCAACTTGACTTCATCCATGTGTATTTTTAATGTTAAGAATATTCTTAAATATCAAGTACAATGAAAACTCGTTAACTTGAATTCCCATGTGTCAAAATTCTGCTTATCTCAAAGTTCAATGCTTGGTCCCAGCAAAACCCTATAGGACACCATGTTAAAAGCTCCGTTTAACTCAAATTCACTTGTCTTGTATTTCAGGATATCTTGAATGAAATTTTCACTCCCGATAACGATTTTCTCACGATTAACTTGAATTCAGGGTGAGAAGGGGTGAAAAATTCTCATCATGGGACTTTTTGGTTTTTGAATAGGATGAATGACAAGAAACCCATTCGGGAGGATGCTCTTTTTGTTTCTTTTGCTTTTTTTTCTGCTTCTCCCTCCTCCCACACAGATGCCTGTGAAGAGGATTAAAACAGAAAAGCTTCAGCTATAAAAAAGGCCTCCAACATTCGCTCTGTCTGTCTATCGCTCTCACTCCAAGCCGTTCTGTCCCGTGTCTCTTAACATGAGTTTGGGGGGGGGGGCAATTCCTGATAACTTGAAACAATTTGCCCGGTCCCTAAAAGTTCCAGTTAATGAGTTTTCACTGTAGTTCATAAATCTGTTGCAGTTTGATGTATTTTATGCATGTGAAACATATGATGCAAATATGTATGTCTTTTCAGTACAAGTTGTGTAGAGTGAAGAAGGTGCAGACTGGGCCAAAGGGCATCCCATTTTGTGTCACTCATGATGGAAGAACCATTCGATATCCAGATCCCATTGTCAAGGTTAATGATACTGTTCAAGTGGATATCGGTACTGGGAAGATCATCGATGTCCTCAAATTTGACTCTGGTAGCTTCTTCTACTAATAATCAGTTATTCTTGGGTTGGTTTTGTTTTCATATCATGAAACATTTAAATTGAATTTCCATGTAATCTCAAAGATTCCTTGAGAAATGGAGGGTACAATTTTGACACTGTGAAAGCAAGGTTTCACTTAACGCCTTGACCAGACCAGGTATTGGGCAATTTCATGTCTGTCCTACAGCAGAAATTTTGTTTTTAAGAAATAATTTTTTGTTTCTGCTAAAGTTCTTTACTTAAATTATTTGTTTTTACTTCATTTCTTAATAATTACCTCCCTGCGAGCACTCACCTGTGAGCATGTGTTCAAGGAATTAAGAATTGAAAATTTGAGCAACCTGTAGAGGTGTGCTGAACATTTAATGTTAATTGAGTTCATAAGAATTCCATAGTTGCAGTCGAATATTTTGCTATGATACATAGTGTAGGAAGACATTTTTGTGCTGATTCCATTATTCATTTTTTTATTTGGACTATCCCTAAACCCACCCACTTACCTAGCCATCAAATTGATTGTCTGACATTACATGTGCTTGGCTTACCTAATTGTCATTTTGGTCTTTTGTCAACTTGTCTATCTTCATTTCATATTATTCATCTCTAACACAACTGTGCTTTGTTGGCACTTGTGGGTAATTATCAGTATGTAAGTGTCACTTGTGAATTTTCATCAAATTAAATGGCATTTTACTGGTAGCTCCAGCAAACATCATTGGTAAGCAGATGGGTGAATTTAGAATTTAGTAATTCATGAGCAATTTAATTTCTCATTTCTTTGTGCCTCGCAAAATTTCTAAATTAAAACAGAGATTGAAATTTCTTGCTACACTGTAATCTACGTTTTTCATTGCAATTTTGTATTAATTTCCATGTCTGTCACTTCAATTCTCATATTTAAAAAATATGAAACCATATAAAAATGGATGCTCTTGTGAATAGCCTCATTTTAAGCATAGACAACCAATCTGCATGATGTTTTGAATTACATTAATGCACATCTATCACATGACACTTTTATTCAAATAAGAGGTAGTATGCTTGAAATGTATGTGGAACAAAAGCAATCCTAAAAGTTCTATCTTCTGTGTTCCTCTCTGTTGTGGAAAAAATCTAGAGAAGAGGGACTTGGGAGATGGGAAATTTGAACTGTTGAAAGTTGAAAAAAAAAATTGAAAAGGCTCTTATCGAAGCCACAAGGAGAAGCAAATCATTCCTCTTGTGTGGTCAAATGGAGCCAAGAGGAACATGTCTCTTAAACGGTCGTTGACTCGGATCTTGTCCGTTCTCAGCATTACCCATGAGATAGACAAGCACATATTCTTCTTCTAGATGTTTTGCTTTGGGTCAATTAGAGTAAAGGAAAAAGATATCAATCTCATCAGAAAAACCCTTTCTCACTTTACAGGGAATTTGTGCATGATCACTGGAGGACATAACTTGGGTCGTGTGGGAGTTGTGACTTCACGAGAACGTCATCCAGGTTCCTTTGATATTGTCCATGTCAAGGATGCTCTTGGGCATACATTTGCCACTCGGTAAGAAAATTAATCATCTTTTAGATTTGCCTTATACAAACCAAGGTGTGAAAAAATATATTTATATTTTTCAGTTAAAAATAGAAAAACATCTAAATTTGCCATCCAAACTCAAGGGTTCATCACAATGTAAATATTGTGTTTTGACCTTTCATATTATATTTTCAGTGTAATCCTTCTAGGATGGAGAAATGCAAATTTGATAAGTTCTTCTGATACCAAAATTCTTTGCTCTGTTCATATAAAGCAAGTTATTTCAATATGAAGTCTGATCTACTCACTTGGAATTTTATTTTTAATTTTGATTTCAATGTGTTTGAAGTACTGCATGGGACTGATTGAACTTGGTTTTTTTTGGAAATTGTCAGCCATTTCAAAGTACTGCACAAAGTGAATACATCTGCCTAGCTGGCAGTTTTCTGAATCAGAAATGCTCTCCCCTCTTAAGACACTTAGTTTTTTCCATCAAATGCCTGAAAATAAACTATGTAAATCCTAATCCTAAAATAAAATTAGTAACCCTAATTGGTTTTTCTGTTTTTTTTGTTGTGAAAAAGTGAAAGCTTTTGATGATGCACTAGTAGAAATTGGATGTGTTTTTTTTTATATGTAGGCTGAACTATGTATTCATCATTGGGAAGGGGAACAAGCCGTACATCTCTCTGCCTCGTGGGAAGGGAGTGCGACTGACAATTGCCGAGGAACGAGATCGGCGAATTGCAGCTCGCACCAACTAAGACTTCTTTCCAAAAGCATGAGAATAAAGAGTCTCCTTATGTCCAGACCCCATTAGTTTACTTTTCATTCTTTTCTTGGCACACTACTAAGTAAGATCTACCAATGCTCCAAGTTCAAAATCTCTTGCTATCTGACCTGTGTGCAATGAATTAAGAATTGAAAATTTGAGCAACCTGTAGAGGTGTGCTGAACATTTAATGTTAATTGAGTTCATAAGAATTCCATAGTTGCAGTCGAATATTTTGCTATGATACATAGTGTAGGAAGACTTGCAATCAAACCCCCCCCCCCCCCCCCCCCACCCTTTTTCCTAGTATTTTCTACTTCGTGCTCATGTAGGACCAGTTTTATAATGGAATTTGTGGGCCTCTCACTGCACAGTGGTTTCATTCTGTTATTGGCCTCTTCAAGTTTATTTTTTCTAAAAAGCCTTTCATCCTTCGGTTTGTGCGAGGGTCAGTCAAATGAAATGAAATGAGAACGAGAAAGTCGCGATATGCAATGATTCCCTATTGATGGACGCCCAATACTTTCACTGTTTGTTGGCTGGGATTGTGTGAATATTTGTCATAGCTGGCAACACCATGCAAAGAGAAAGAACAGCTCAATCGCTTGAGCAAAATGGCGTTCACACACTCTTGTGCGTCCAAAGAAGCCCGGCTTGCTGTAATTAAACTTCTGGCTGCTAAAAGGTGTGTCACTCATCGAAATCCATTCCTGAATGAGTGCTGTTCGCACCAACAGCAAAAAGCTGTTTGCTTTTCAACTACGGCAGCGCGCGTACAAGTGGTGCAGACATTTCCGAAGCAGGCGCGAGAATTTGAAGGATGACTCACGCTCAGGTCAGGTCAACGACGTCGCCACAGAAATGATCACAAAGGTGGACGAGCTCATACGGAGCAACAGAAACGTTTCACTGTATGAATTGACTGCAGATCTGGGAATCAGTCACAGCTCAATTCACCCCATAATCCGCGTCCAGCATAGCATTGAACGGACAAGTGTAGAAGGCTGTCACATGGCGGTTCAAACAGCAACCACATAAATTTTACGAGGCTGGTATAAACTATAGCGAAGCGTTGGAATCTGTGCCTCAACAATGGGGAAAACTTTAAGAAATAATACACTCACTGCAAGGGAAATAATTATTCTCATCTTCATTTGACTGACCCATGTAATTTACGTTTGGTTTAGGACATACCACTGAAGGCAAAAATTCACTTCCTCTGCTTCCACTTTCTCCCCATAATTTCCACTCATTTTTCATCTACACTAAGCTGGGAAGACTCAGGAAGTGGGTTTTAAGCAAACTTGACAACAAATACCCTGATTTATGCTGGGATCCGACTGTGAAATAGTGAATTGAAGTAACTACTTGGGCGAAAGCTGGAGTCTGTTCGCTCATTTTATTTCTCAAAAAGTATTAATTCTGCAAATCAATTTCGTGGTCCATATGTATCAGTAGATTCGCACTTGATTGTTGCATTTGTTACGCCGAATTTTCCATTTAATTTTAATCTTGTGTTATGCACGCCCTGGTGATAGAGTATCTATTCCAGGTTGGTTAAATAAATTCCCATGCTAGGAAGCCACTGAAATATTAAGTGAAGCAAATATTGGTAGGTATGTTGTAGGGTTTTGTGGAGTGCAGAGAGATTCAGAATTTCGTTTTGTGAAAACGTCTTAAAATACTTCCATTTGGGAAATTCCAAATTATCTGGTTTTGTTGCCTCTGCCTCCATTTACTTTACTCCTGGGGGTACGGAATTTTGTACTTTGAAGTATTGTGAAAGTAAAGCAGTTATCGCTATTGTGGTGATTGCTTTAATCATCTGGTTACAGTTATCGCAAAGCGTTATCAAATGGAAGTCGATTAAAAAAGGGTGAGGTCTTCATTTGGGGAGATGGCACTGTATTCCCTGTGAACTTTATTCACTTGCATACGAGTTCGGAATCCCATTAGGGTAGGGTTTAACCACCAATTATCGGACAGTTAAACTGGCAGAGCCATATCATTTGTTCGTCCTATCTCAACGACACAAGCTGGAAGCTTCCTTTTTTATGCCTGGGAGCACGACACGGCGAGGTATAAGTGCTACTAAGATGTCCTTCCTAGCATTACGACTTCCGATATTGCTTATAATTTGGATGTCCGAACTTGGATGCGGAAAAAATTAAAGTTCGGACGCTTTCACCTAAGTTCGAACACCCCGTTATCAAATCTCGAAGAGGCTAAAACACTTCACTGTGATGTGAGGGAATGCGAACCTGCTCTCAAAGTATTGCATCTTTTCTCTATTTTCTAGTATAGGACGATCGCGATCGTCCTATACTAGAGCGACTGACCATGTTCCATATCTCATCTAGAACCATGTTCTAGATGAGATAGATCCAAATTGGTACACAAATAGCTCTGAGGATGCGGATTTCAGGTTTCCTTTTTTGGGAGAGACAAATCTCCATAAATTTTTCGCTCCAACTAAGCGGAGGGTACATAGAAGCTGAGATTTTATCCAACGGTACATATTAGGATGCATATTTCAAGAGGGGAAAAATCCTAATTTTAGGCCTGGGATTTTTGGGATGCAATCATCCAAAAAAATTTGTTCCCGGGAATCATGGAGACAAGAGGCTGAAACCTTACTAAATACCTCGTAGGTACCTGCTGGTATGCAGACATAAGAGAAAATCCAATTTTTGGGATATATCTTCTGGAGGTATTCTTGGACAGACCGTCGCCAGCCAATCAGAACGCAGCTCCTGTCTGCGTCATGATTCACGGGCTACCCACGTATCTTGAACCCATCTCCTAGACTTAAATGGAAATATGGAAAATAATATGCTCATGGTGTCATGTGGTCTTCTGGTCAAGGTATACCGATCAAACTTGGATATATATTTTTAATTCCCACTGTATTAGGTGTACTAATAATGAGTCGTTATTTATGTTTATCATGGGTTCCATAGAGTTCTAGTTCCTCATCTGAATCTGATGTCCTTTCCTGGACTCGGACATTTCTATTTTTAGTCCTTGTTCAAAAATGAGCAGTCATGGGTAAGGGTGCCAAATGTTATGTCATGGAGTCATTCACTTCAAAAAATTAAAAGTTTAAACGATGCAGCACAATTAGATAAGCCTCAGTTCGCGTAGGTGTGACGAAGACAAAGGTGCGAGAAAAGGTTTGTGGAAGACCTCTCAAAATGTTGTTTGACTTAAACCGGCTGCATGTTTTTCCTTGTTTATGGTAGAATAGAATAGAAATTAAAATAATTAAAACAATCTAGCCTTTCAGGCTGACGCTCATGATTGAATATTATTAAAGACATTCTTGAGCTTGGGTTCAACAAAGGACAACCTATCAAATGATATATATAGTAACGATGGACACCCTGTATATCATTCTAAGAATTTTCTTCAGCTGAATATGCGGTCAGTGATAAACCAGGTCTAAGTCCACCACTCAGGTCTCAGGATGGTCAGTAATGTCGAACCATGAAAGGTGTCGAGTCCAGGGGCCTGTTGCATACAACTTGCATACGGTACAACTGACCCCAGGTTCTACACACGGCTACGCAATCTGCAATGATCACGTGGAGCGTTCAAGGGGGATGATGAATGTGGAACTCATACCTGGCGCATGCGCAAAGGGATCACATTCTGATTGGCCGGCGACGGTCTGTCGCTAGACGCATGTTTTTTGGAGGGGAGCCATATTTGTTAATATGTTTTGCTAGATTGAATCGGCGATGCCGAATATTGAAAACTTGAATTTGGTACTTACGTTGCTCTCCAGTTGCTAATTTCTGGAAAAATCCAGCTCTTGTGGTAAATCCTTTGGGTGCACATTTTTCATTAGGGTCATATTTTCGGAAAATTTTTTACAGCCGAACGGGCACAGTCCACATTCAGTAGACGAGTATTTCTTTGCATGCTTAATTCAGCATCCAACTTCGGGGTACATCCCTATCATTTCGCTGAGTGACAACTCGCCGAATTCAGTTTGTCGACCGATAATTAATACTTAACTCGTCGAATCACGATTCGCCGACTTATAATTCACCGATAGCTCAGCTCGCCGAAACTTCATTATTCCTTGAAAGCAGAAGCTGAAGCACGAATTATTTTCATCAACCATATAATAATGGGATTAGAATTAGCCCACCTAAATCTTCACGAGGTGAAGGGCTGCAATAAGTCGTTTTGCGAATCTTTAGTAACTTAAAATATTTTCATCGCTGTTCAGCCGGAGTCGGATTAGTCTTCGCCTGGGTGAGACAGTTTTGTCTAGACGGGATTAAGCCGTCCCTACGCCCCCACGGACGGGAGAAGAATTTGGGCGTAGGGCAAGGCAACCAGCCTCAAGTGGCGCCATGGTTATGGATTAGTGTCAATGAGGGTGGAATGAGGGGAAAGGGAGTCCCTGTTTTCTGTCAATCTGTCAACTTAGGCGACCTGAATAGTTTCCTAATACTAATCCCACCCTTCCCAGTGTAGTATATAAGAAGCTAAGGGTTTGTCATGACAGCATTGCGTTCTCATAATGGCAACCCTCCAGTTTGTGACAACCCAGCGTGGTCATCGTAAAGTCATCCTTGATGGCTACATCTACCTTCTCGACAAGAAACTTGGGCAGATCTACTGGCGATGCGAAGACAGAATCTGCACCTCCAAACTGCAAAGCATAGGTGACGTCATTGTGAGGCCGCCATCCGAGCACTATTCCCATGCATCATCATCAAGTCGCGTCACTAAGGCTGTGGTGATGTCTGATGTTTGCCAGTTAGCCCTAGCTTCTGAGAGTTCGACCCGCAACATCGGGAAGCAGGCAACAGCAGACGTCCCCATCATCGCCACTCCTGCTCTGCCCTCCAATGCAGCACTGTCGCAGATAGTTCGTCACAAGCGACAGCGACAACTAGGTGATGCAGACGACGAAGATGGCGTGTGCGTCATTCCTCGGCGTCTACAGTGCAACACCGACGGTCAGCGCTTCCTGTC